AATCATGCCCCGAACCTGAGTCAGCAGGTCGTGTCTGAGGAGAACCTCCCAAGGGGGCCGGCTAACAGACTGACCAATTCTGAGAATCACGTACGAGTGGGCCAAAACGGCACCACCAACAACAGATGTTCACTCTGACCAACCTTACACTGAACAGAATCGTTTGGGAGCAAACGGGTCGACGGGAAGGCATAAGACTGGTCCTGCTCCATTCTTGGGCTAGAACATCCACACCCAGAGGCGACGGAGGAGACAAGGAAACCAGAGCGGGCAATGCGCATGCTCTAAGCAAACAAATCCACTTCCGCTCGGCCAAACCTCTGCCATATGAGACTCACCACCTGAGGGTGCAATCTCCATTCTCCAGCCTCCAAACTCTGTCTCAAGAGTAAGTCCACTCCTGAGTTCAGGTGACCCGGGACATGAACTGCTCTGATCGACTGGAACCTGGTTTGCGTCCAAAGAAGAACACGTCTCACCAACCTGCACAGGGGGAACCATACGACAGCCTGATCCTCCCTCATGAGGCCCCGAGACACCTGAGTTGCGGGAAAAACCTCTGAAACAGGAACGGATACTAAAATCAGGCATGCCAGCACCAACCACAGAGTGGGGACTTGGATGTCAACATAGACCCTGCACCAATGGCTTTAGGGCTATCCTCTCGATCTCCAAAGCTAAGGCGCGGAGAACGGTCAAAATCAGTCCGAAACGCAACAAGCAGCGGAACAGCTGATAGAGGCAAACACACTTGTTTTGCCAAATGTGTGTTGCAAAACTCCACAGAGCCAGCTCATAGCACAGAGTCCACTATTTGTTCCAGCTCAAAACAGCAGTGGAGCTGAAAGAATAATAATTATTAGCAGCCGAAAGAATCGATTACGAGCTTCCAGAGCGGGAATCAGATTTGACTAACCACCTGACTCACGAGGCGTTCTTCTGATGGGGATTAATTCCGTTCTCTCACTCTCTGTACACTCGGGCTCATCGCCGTCACCCCAAGCGTCGAGCTCGTGCGGCGCCTCGGCAACCGCAGAACTGGAACAGCGGGGGTTGAACGACCATCTCTCCTTCCTCAGAAAGAGAGCGAGTCCAGAGCGCAACTTACTCACAAACACAGATATCACGGATACAACAATAGATAAAGGCCACAAAGCGGTCTTCCTACCTGTTTCCTCGTGAGTCCGTGTAGCATCCATACATACCGGAAAACTCATTGTGTCCGCCTTAGAGGAGTAAACTGCTCTATATAAATAGATGGCTTAGAACACAAGAATCTCTTTCCAACGGGCAACAGATGATTCGCTTCCTGAAGGAATTAAAATCTGATGAAATTTTTATGCACAGCAGGCATATATGAGCATACGTGACGTATGCTCGGGGCGGTGCTAAGCACTATTGGCCAATAAATTGGCATGATGGTATAAGGGCTTCAGACATTCGTCACACCGGAGGTATTCTCATAGCGATGACGTCATCGCAGCATTGAAGTGAACCTATGAGAGGGAACCGAGGTTACGTATGTAACCGGAGACGTTATAACATGTCGGGAAGTTTTACCGCTGAGGAAAGCGAGTGTGAATCGAAACAGAAAGTTAAAGAACGCTGGTTTAAATACCGACGCGGAACTCTGAGACTACCGGTCAGACCGGTCAGACCGACAAGAGAGAGAGTAGAAGACATCAATCTGACAGCATCTGTAACTGCATTAAAAACCTTTGGACAGAAGCAAAATGTCTGGAGACACTGAAATAGAGAAAAAGATTTGTGACTTCTTGAGGCGAAACGGCAAAAGCAACGCGTTGAAAATTGCGGAAGAAATCGGACTAGATGAATGCATCGTGAACAAACATTTGTACAGCCTACAGAAATCAAATCAAGTGTCAGGAACTAACGAGACGCCTCCAGTTTGGGATCTTCTGGAGAAGACGAGTGAGATCAAAGAGACACTCAGACTAGAGCAAAAGCCTCAGACGACAAGAGACACAAGTGAGGAGAAACCTGTGGAGGATCTGCTGAGATCAGGAGCTTTGAAAGCCCATCAGATCGCCAGAGAACTGGGACAGTCGAGACAAGGCCTCAAGGTGTGGACTCAGAATAAGGAGTGGAGCGAGGAAAGTTCCAGCCAAGAGAGGTTTGTGTTATGTCATTAAAAATACTTACAACTGTGATTTATAATGAGTATTTGCATTTAGTGTGCCAGAATTTTGGATAATAATTTAAAAAGGATTTGTTTTTGATTAGTTCCAGTGATCATGCACTCGACTCAATTTCAGGGTAAGCATACTGGACCTGACAGTCTTGTGTCTTGTTTAATTAATTCAGATATAACAAAGAGAAATGTTTTAAATTAATGTTTTGTTAAAGGATAATGCATAATGATGTTCTGCTGTATATTGCTTTCTGACATGTATGTACTGTGTGTATCATCTATAGATTGTCTCATAGCTTTGATGTGATTGCAAAGCTTGGCCAGGGAGGCTTTGGCTGCGTTTATAAAGTAAAACATAAATATGACGGCAAGATCTACGCTGTAAAGAGGGTGATCTTAACCAGGTAAGTTTATACATGTCATAAAGTCATATCTAGTTTTAAAAAGAACAGTTGTAATGATTATGTGGCACAAAAAGAATTTAATTCATTAAATAATTCATTTATTCATTCATTCATTTTAGTTCCTTTGTTCATTAATTCATTGTTTTTATTTATTTGAGTTTATTTGTTCTTCATTCAATTATTAATTCATTAATTCATTCAATAATACATTTATTCATACATTTTAGTTCCTTTATTTGTTCATTCATTCATTCATTGCTTTTATTTACTTGTTTGTTTGTTCTTCATTCAGTTATTAATTCATTCATTCATTTATTCATTCATTTTAGTTACTTCCTTTGTTTGTTCATTCATTAATTCATTCATTCATTGTTTTTATTTATTTGTTTTTGTTCTTCATTCAATTATTAGTTAATTCATTCATTCATTCAATAATTCATTTATTCATTTATTCATTTAATAATTTTAGTTCCTTCCTTTGTTCATTCATTCATTCATTGTTTTTATTTATTCGTTTGTTTGTTCTTCATTCAATTATTTATTAATTCATTCGTTCATTCATTAATTCATTCATTTATTCATTCATTTTAGTTACTTCCTTTGTTTGTTCATTCATTCATTCATTCATTCATTGTTTTTATTTATTTGTTTTTGTTCTTCATTCAATTATTAGTTAATTCATTCATTCATTCATTCAATAATTCATTTATTCATTTATTCATTTAATAATTTTAGTTCCTTCCTTTGTTCATTCATTCATTAATTGTTTTTATTTATTCGTTTGTTTGTTCTTCATTCAATTATTTATTAATTCATTCGTTCATTCATTTTACTTCCATCCTTTCTTTGTTCGTTCATTCATTCATTAATTGTTTTTATTTGTTTGTTCTTCATTCAATTATTAATTAATTAATTAATTCATTCATTCATTATTTATTTGATATTTAATTATTAGTGATCGTTTTATTTCATTCATGCATTATTTTTATTTATTCATTATTTTTATATATTTATTTATTTATTTATTCATTAATTCAATTATTTATTTATTTATTCATTCATTCATTATTTTTGTTTATTAATGTATTCATTCATTGCTTTAAAACAGGAAAGCTGATTCTGAGGTGAAGGCACTGGCCCATCTAGATCACGCAAACATAGTGCATTACATTACATGCTGGCCAGCTTCTGACAACTGGATGTCAAACCAAGAAAGAAACCAAGTGTCCAAGTAAGCAGGTCTCCAGCACTTTTGATAAAACATTCAGTGCTTCTCAACAGTGACGGTGAGTCTCTGTTTTATGTTCAGCACACCAGGTTCTTCATCAGATGTAGTGACCTTTGAGAGAGCCAGCAGTGGAGAGAGGGATGATGATGATGATGATGACACATCAGAAATGGAAAGTCTGGGTATGAAAGGGTATGTCCAGCATTCTTCTTACAAGACACTTGTTTATTTTGCTCTTATATTTGCTCCTTTTTGGGTAAACTAGTATTACAGTGTGTCAGCTGGTCAGGGGTTTAATTCCCAGTAAATGCATCTACTGATAAATGTCGCTCTAATGTACTTTAAGTCTCTTTGGATAAAAGTGTCTGCCAAATGCATGGTTGTGAATGTAACTGTGTCTGTTCTCAGATCAGCATCTGCTGCTGTGCCCTCAGGAAACAACAGAACTGACAGTTTAGACTCTTCAAATCAGGGAGTTTATTTGTTTGATTGAATTGGATGACATGACAACTGCATCAAAGGGCTCATATAATAAGGAATCAAATTTTCCATGCTCTTTAATAAATAACATATTTAAATTTTACTGTAACTGGTCCTATTTAAATTGATCCAAAACCGTTCATCTGTTGAAACCAAACTACTGCTCTGCATTTGCTTCTGACAAATAACAGTGTTGCAAATGAGTTGAGTTTTTTTTTGTTTGTTTTTAATCCCTGTGCATTTCAGTCTTTGAGTTCCCTTTCAGTCGGTCACTCCGAGTCACGTCTGTGACCGACAAATTGGGATCTTGCTTAGAGAGACCAATCCACTTCGAGTGTAAACTAAACGAGCCAATGCACATTGGCATGCGATGATTGCGTCCAGCTGCCGCTGATCACAGCGTGAGCATAAAAAGGCAGCCGGTGCAACGCATACCAGCTTCGGAGCCGAGCGACAACATCGTTCTGCTCCTACCAAACTGCTTCCCCGGCGGGCAGCTGCTGCCTCCACCCGTCCGCCGGCCGCAGCGCTCCCCTGTGTCCGCCCCTGCTCCCGCGCCGCATCCGCAAGCAGCGCCGTGGAGCTGGGCGTAGGCAGGCCGCTCCACCCGTCCAGGCCCCCGTCAAACCTGGCGGTGAGCGAAAGAGCAAAAGGCCCCGGGACGGGTGACCCAGAGAGGGAGGAAGCTGCTCTTTGGGGGATGGTGAAGGGAATCTGGAAAATCTCGACGAGAGAGTGGGTTTCTCTGTCCCTGGGTCCCAGGAGGGCACGGAGAGTCGCGGACGGACCACACTCATCCTCTCCATCGCCAGCAGGCAGCAGCGGGTGGTTCAAGAGCGTTAACAAAGGCCCTACTCACGCACCCTCTGCCAAACTGTGGAACCAGGTAAGCGTTGCA